AGATTTCCAGTATGCATTGTGTTTTTGCCGAGAACTGTGCGCACAAGGGAGCCAATCAAAGTCCTCTTGTATCTAATGAGTAGGGGGAAATCATGATGGGGAAAGTCCCTTAATGACAGGAGACAATAGCTGTTTGTACAGTGACACGTACAGAAAACTTTGTCACTAAGGAATCTCTTGAAACGTGTTTTTATTTATCTGAGACATTATTCATTCAATTAGCATAAGCAGTGAAGCGCATATGTGGGCAAGAAATCTGAAATCTTATTCGTGGGACTACTGAAATGTTATTTTTCCCCGTAATTTGGAAGACAGCAGACGTAGAGCTAACATAGTAAAAAAGATGTGGGCTTTGGAACCTCAACAATCTTTAATCAATGTAGCATTTGTCCCGGAGTTAGACTGACGTGTTATACTAAACACAGACGAAGTTGAAACAGACAGAAGGCTTAATGTAAAAGGATTATTTTTCAAACTTAGTCTCCTAATGGACAATCACACCCGCGCCCCGAAGGGTGCTGTTACATGAATCCAGAACAGGGATCGTCTTTTTCTGTGGTCTTTATCACACGTGGAGCACAGCCCGTGCGGCAGATCGCTCGTGTCCCCGTGCCCGCACTCGGCCGCCTGTGGCCACGGGGCTCGCTCAGCTGGCTGGGACCCTGCCAGACCCCGCTGCTTCTGTTTGCTAAACAAACGCATCTTACGCACTTCAGCTGGGGATGAAAACAAAGTTATGAAACCGGGTTTCTCATGTAAAACTGACTTCTACAAAAAAAAAAAAAAATATGTTAACAATTCCACGCGAGGAACCCGAGAGGTCTTCCTAAGAGCTGAGGCTCCAAACCGCAGCCCCCCGCCCTTTATTCACCGTCAGACGAAGAGCTCCCCGCGCCCCGTGCCCAGCCCCGCCCCACGGGCCCCTCAGCACGTGCCGCGCCCGCGGGCAGCACGAGGCGCGCGGCCCCGCGCGCTCGCCCCGCAGGGGGCGCGGCTGCAGGCGGCGGCGGCCGCGGGCCGGTCCCCGCGCGCCAGCGGCGGCCCCGCCCCCCGCCCCGCCCCGAATGGCTCCTCCCCCTCCGCCCCTCCTCGCGCCGGCGGGGGCGGGACGCGCGAGCGGGCAGAGGGAATCCCTCGGTTTCCCCGGAGCGCGCTCCGCTCTCGCGAGACCTGCGCCGCTGTCCGCCTGCCGGCCGGCGGCGCACTCTCGCGAGAGCGGCGCGGTTCCCACGCCCGGGCTGTTGTGTCTGAGGGAGCAGCCCGGGCGCTGAGTGGGCGGCGCGCACCGCCCCCCCCCCGCCCCGCGCGTGTCTCGCGGGCCCGCGCACGCGCGCTCTGGGCCGTGGGGAGGGGGGCGCTCTCGCGAGAGTAGGAGTTTTGGCGAGAGTTTGTGGAAGATGGCGCCTGTTGTGACAGGGTGAGTGCGGGGCGTTCGCGGCGCCCGCCGGAGCCGCCGCCGCCCGCGGCTGCCGGGGCGAGACCGCGCCGCGCCCTCCCGCTCGCTCCTCGGCCGCCGCTCGAGCAACGGGGCACTGCCCTCCGGACGGCCCGCGGGCGGGCCCTGCGGCGCAAACCTCGTGGGGCTGGGGTCCCGCCGGGTGGGCGCACGGAGGAGGCGCCCCGGGCGCCGGCCCGGCAGCGGCCGCGCTCTCCGGCCGCCCCGCGGCGCGGCAGTCCCGGCGCGGCTGGGCGCTCACTTTGCTCTCGTTCTCTCCGGCACGGACGCGCCGGTCGGGACTCCGTGCAGGGTCAGTGCTCATCCCGGCTGCTTCGGAGCGGGTCCCGCTCTGAGGGGTCCCAGGGGAGCGGCGGAGCCCAGCTGGGAGCAGACCTGGGGCTGGCACGGGCTCTTCTCCCTTCTCGCTCGCCCTGGCTCGTCCCGCCGTAGGCGTGGGTCCTCCAGGCTCCCCCGGCTACGGACGG